GGTTGCTCTCTCTCTCTCTCTCTCTCTATGAAACTGCTATGCATGCTTGTATTTTATCTGTGCAACCCTCTTATCTGTACTATGTATGGTCTCCATATATGATGCAGAGGATGCATCCAAAGTAGGCCTTATCAAGTCTCTCCCTAATGCAGACACCAAATTGTTGCTGTTCCAAGCTGACATATATGACCCCAATGAGTTTCAACCCGCCATCCAAGGATGTGAGTTTGTCTTTCATGTGGCCACTCCAAAGCAGCATATCAACCAAAGCTCTCAGATCAGGCACTCGTACTTTTTAGGCAAGATAACAATCCAATTCAATCATGCGTGCCAAATGAAGCCTTGGTTGTGTGATAGTTTGATTATTGAAAGCTGGTGCTTGACAGTTTGAGAATTTGAACATATATGTAGTACAAGGACACAGCTGAAGCTGCTGTTGCTGGGGTTAGGATCATTGCTGAGTCTTGCATTCGCTCACAGACCGTTAAGCGACTCATCTACACTGCAAGCATGCTAGCTGTGTCGCCAAGGAGAGATGACGGGGTTGGATTCAAACCCTGCCTTGATGAATCATGTTGGACACCTCTTGATGTCTCATTTACTTATGCCACTGATTTTTCAATGGTACCTCTTCTTGCTTGTGAATGAAATTGGGTCTTAATGCTTGATTAATTAAAATTAATCTTTATGTTTGATTTTAATCTGGAAATGTGTTCAAAGGGTATATCATATCAAAGACATTAGCAGAGAGAGCAGTGCTGAGCTATAATGACATTGATAATGGTAAACTGGAAGTGGTAACGCTTCCTTGTGGCTTGGTGGGAGGAGAAACTCTTCTGTCATATTTGGCTACTAGTGTGGGAGTACTTATATCACAACTTACTGGGGACTCTTTTGGTTACAATGGATTAAAATTGATGCAAGAAGTTAACGGTTCGGTTCCTCTTGTACACATTGAAGATGTCTGCCAAGCACATATCTTCTGCATGGAACAACCATCCATGAGTGGTAGATTCTGCTGTGCAGTTGCCAGTCCGAATATCAACGAAATTGCAAGCTACTTCCAAGAAAATTATTCAGAACACAAGATAGCAAAAGAGTATCGATCCAACTTAATTTCATTTTTTTTATGACAGATTTCGACTACTTTTGATTTTTAACTCCAGAATTTTACTCATTTTCTTTGATCATGAATGTGTCAATTCATCACAGATTCA